CTCTCTCTCTCTCTCTCTCTCTCTCTCTCTCTCTGTCACACACACACACACACACACACACACACACACAAAATACAAAATCAGAGTCCTACCAAGGCATTGCTGAGCCTGTGCTGCGGTGGGGTTGTACTTTTTTTTGGTGGGGGGTCATTTTTTAAAGCAAAGCATTTATTGGTACATCTTAGATATACATAGTGATAACATTCATCATAGGGAATTTGTGTCTGTACATGATGTATCTTGCTGCTTCTTTTTTTCCCACTTCCCCCACCATTGACCATTCTGCCCCTCTTTATATACAAAATCTTTGTTTTTATTTTCTCATTTCCCCTTGTCCCTTCTTTCCTTTCTCTCTCCCCCCTCCCTTGTTCCCCTTCTCATTTGAACATTTTCTTCCCATTTCCCAATGTCCATTGTACATTTAGGAAAGCCTTCTTAATTAATCTCTCAAATTGAGCTGCTCTGCCTTGTCCCTCCAAGGGCCGGTAACACATCTCTGAAACCTTAGGGGTTTTGAAAGACTTTGAAAAAAAAATCACTGATCTAGCAATTAATAAGTCTCTGTCTATCTCTCAAATATTATAATTCTCATTTACTTTGGGTTGTAGATAATTTCAACTAAATATCTTTGCTAGAATGCATAGAAGTTTTAGATTTCTTTCTTTCTTAGCAAAACATTTATTACTACATTTTACAGCTTATATTTCTGTTTTTTTTTTCCTGGTACCAGGGATCGAACTGGGGTCCCTGCACTGGCAAAGCAGGCACCAGAACCACTGAGCTAAATCCCCGGCCTCTAGTATATATTTTAGATAGGTACTTTAACTGTACTGTTTATCCCTAATTTTAAAACACTATTTTTTTCCTTTCTTGTTTTCCTAACTTCAATCCCTTCAGCCATCGAATCTTCACTTAGGGGCAAGAAACTCACGCGATTTTGGCACACACAGTACACTTCCAGCTGCCATCGAGGCCCACGACCCGACAGTCAGTGCACACCCTCAGAGAGCAGGTCTGGCATGGGTCTCCTCGGTCAAAGATTAGGCCCAGGTTTCTCTGACAGTGAACACAGACTCTGCTGGTCTCCTGTTGGGTCTTCCCACTTTTACGTTTTGCTTCTAAGAGTTCATTTTTCAACTTTCTGGAAAGAGCAAAAAAAAACAAAAAAACAAAAACAAAAAACAAAAAAACACAAAAACAAAACCTCACTTTAAAAACCACAGGAAAGCGGGACTCTATTTCAGACTTACTTTCTTTTAAAAGAGTATTTGAAACAAGGAGTCAGAGCTAAATGTTTTCATGAAATACATTTTCTCTCTCCAGAATCAAAGATCCTTTGATATTAACAGTTGAAAGATACGTTGATGTTTTGCTTTTGAAATCCTCCATTAGCATTGTTTCTATGAATTCTCATTCTCATTATACTCGAACTCTTATCTAAGACACCTTTGATCTTGTACTGCTGGAGCACCGCCACCGTGTAGCAGGGGTGGCGAACCTATGGCATGCGTGCCACGCTGGGCTCTTTGTATCACTGAAAACTCTAAAGCGTTTGCCATCCTTTATCTGCCTAGGTGTGCTACGTGAGGCAGCAGTGCAGTTGATACTTTCCTAAAGTGATCTGATAAAGATTATGCCACAGAGATAATGCCTATCAGTTCAGATCTGAACACTTCTGCTTAGCATTTGAGAGTTTCTAACGATTCCCATTAAACTATGGGCTTTGCTTTCAGACATGTCTGAGTCTAGGCTCAATCGTGAATTAGCTGTCCAAACTTAGCAATGATTTACCCACTCAATCTCAGTCTCCGCATTTCTAAAATGGGAGTAATAATATTCTTCTGTGTTTGTTTTGAAAAGTAAATGAGATGATATAAGAAAAGTTCCCAGCATAGTGCTTGGCACACAGGCATTAAACAAATGTTAGTCCATGTACTTTCTCTTACTATTTGGCATGTAACCTAGTTATACAACCTTCAGAAACCCGCTATTCCAAATGTAGCACTTGTTCCAGCAGCATTAATTACCTGGCAGCTTATTAGGAACCTAAAGTCTCAGGCCCCACTTCAGATCAGATCAGATCAGAATCTGCTTTTTTTCATCCTACGTATTCACATTTCAACAAAATGTCCAGGTGATTAAAGTTTGAGAAGCATGGCTTTGGAATGTTTGTGCTCAAATCTGGCTATACCTTGGAATCACTTGGAAAGATTTGAAAAAGTATCGATGGCCACTTGTCACTCTCGATGAGTGTGTTATCATTGGTTTCGAAGGTGGCCTAAGCAATGGCATTTTATAAGGCTCCCTGCTTATTCTAGTATACTGCTGGATTGGCAGAACATTGCTCCAGAAGAAAGGTCCATTCCCACTTCAGAGCTCCACAAACATGTCTCTCCTTTATGTTATAGACCTCCAATCCCTTCTTCAATGCAATATTTCTATTATCTGATTTTTCAGATAAATTCAGATTCATCCCACATATTTCATACTGCATCCTTTTGCATTTGTGACACTAAATTTTGTCAGACCCAACCAGATTATCATCCCAAAGGCAGGAACACAGCTGCAGTTCTTGTACATACTGTCCAGGATCCAATTCCATGCTAGGTTATAAAGCAGTTGAATATTTAAAGCTATTTATTATTTTTTTATTCCTTCAGACTTTGAGGCATTATGAATCTCACATTATTGCATGCAGTACACATATGTTAAAATGTCATACTTAACCAATTAATAATTAATATATGTCAATAAAAAATTACATATTTAAAAATGTAGTGAGCAGTACAGCTGAAACTGTGAACCAGGTCTTCTAATTTCCAACCTAATGGAAGAATTTTAAAAAATGGAGAATTTTAAAAACGAAGACTAAAGTTTCCAAAACTTTGACTTATGGTTTCATTCATTCAACCAACAAAAATTTATGTAATGCCTGCCTACTGTATGCTAGGCATTCTGGTATTCAGATAAAAAAATGAATAAAACAGGACAACTACTAAGGGTTCCCATTGTGCTTCATACTAGTCCAAAAGAATAACGGATAATTCAGTAACAGAAGAATAACAAGATAATTTATGCATTACAGAAGACTGCTATAGAGAAACTCATGTCTTCACTCTTTTATCCATCTAAACACAAATGACAAAAATCCACAGAACATGTTTTCCTAATCTCTGTTTAGATCTTACAAAATATTATGTCCTTAAACAGAGCAAGCATCTGGTTCATAAAATTCAATGAATGGAGAGCTGCAACAGAATTTATTTTTGGAAACTTGCAAAATGCGTAGCCTTTAAAACAACCAAAAAAGTTTTTACTTAAAGACCTCACTGTATTATTTATAGGATCACAACAGTTGTTTGAACTCCTCAGGGCACAGGGGAAATAGAACACTGCTTTCTCAATATCTGCAAGGAGTTATGAAGTAGTGAATAAAAAAACCAAGTATGCAAATGAGTACAACAAAGACAGCAGCCCCAAATAACAGCCATTTCAAAGTAGCTTAGTGAGCCAGAGAATAAAATACTGAGAAAATGGAAGATTCTGGGGGTATTCTTGAAGCAAATTCTCTCCTAGAAGCATCTATGATCAAGTGTTTGAAGATTAACCACTCAACAAGAAGCTCCTTAAACTAGAGTAGCTGAGACTACTTGAAAAACAATGGCCATAAATTAGTCAAATATTTTCATTGCATCTTTCTTCATGCTCTACTTGACAAGATTTTATTTAGCAATTAGATTTTAGCTAGTTCACAGATATAGAGTCTAAAAGGACTTGGGGTTCATTATAAATTAAATCACAGTGAAGCAAAAGAAAGGCTGAAGTATATTAGTTGAGCAATTCCTAAGACAACCAGTGCTATAACCCTAAACACTTTGGCAACTATCTCTGAGATATATGGGGAAATCTGGGAAGAATTCCATAGGCTGGTAAAAAATATTAAAGAGCTTATTTATTTTTCAAGTTTCCCTTAGAAGTTGAGCTAGCTCAATCACATCTAGGAGATTCCACGTTGAGTGAACATAGCCATTATCAGACATTCATGTAGCAGAGAAAGGGCAAAAAAGGATGTCTCAGTCTACTCTGTGCTGCTATAGGAGAATACGACAGGTTAGCCAATTCATGGAGAACAGAAATTTATTTCTCACTGTTCTGGAGGCTGAGCAGACCAAGATCAAGGGGCTGGCATCTGGTGAGGGCTTTCTTCCTATGTCGTCCATGGAGGAAGGGTAAGAAAATACAAGAGAAAAGAGGGCTAAAATTGTTGTAACAAACCCACTCCTACCATAAAAACTGCAGTTCATTCATGAGGATAGAGCCCACACGAACTAAGCATCTCCCTTTGGTCTCACTTCCAAGCATGTGAGCTCTGTAGGACACATTCAAATCACAATTCAGTGTAGCTGAAACTAAGAGAAGGAATTATATAATTGGAGAAATAGTACCAAGGCAACTAGAAGTAGAGGCAGCTAAAGGAGAGGAATAACATGAGAGATGCCTTTGCCCCCTATTTAACTATCCAGCACTTACAAAGCACGGTGGACCTCGCTTCATTGCTGCATGGCTGGCCTAGCCTCAGAAAGGTATCTGAGGAATATAAACTTCTGGCTTACACGTGCAATATCTGTACAGTAAACAGAGAAGCCATCTGGATAAGTGAGAAATGCTTCTGCTTTCAAGTAACAATCTTAAAAATGGGTTTCTTTCTTTATAAACAACAAGATATCCAGAGTCCAGCAGTTGCTTATATTATTAGTTATGCTGTGAAATAAGATCATTAAGGACTCAGTAGCCTTCCTTCCAGATGCTTCTTTATGTACAAACTGTGGCTTATCATTCTTGTACAAAGAGGTCAGGCAGCTACAGTGTATAGAATAGCATCCTTGTTTAAGGGAGGATCAAGTTTATTTGTGGGGAGAGGGGCATCAACTATATCTGTCTGTTAACAAAAAAGCAAAAGCTGATTCAGAAGTACTCTGATTAAGCCTCTCCTAAATGCTGAAGCAGATAATGTCACATTATCACACTGGCTGCAAGGGAGGCTGAAAAGTGACTTCTCTCTGCCTTTAATGAAAGGAGGTAATGGGCAAAGGTTCAAGAATGACATCCTTTTTTGAGAATAGCATGGAATTTCTCTAAGGCAGTAGCTCTCCTTTCCTGCAGACAGACAACAGCTAATTTTGACACATTAAATAGTCTCCTTCATTATATTCCTGTGCTCACTAAGACATAGGCAAAGAAAAATCTGACCCCAGACTGTACAAACAACCAAACTTTAGAAGATTTTCTTCACTGTCTTGTTGCATGTGTCACCCAGTTTTCTTTCCAAAGCTTTGGTTCCTGGTAAAAGTAATGATACTTTTTAGTTTTAGGCCACTCATATAATCACAGTAGCTCATTGAGGTAAGTACTATCCAACTATATCACCCACTGTATCAGTCACTTGTCCTCATCCTTTGAGTATTTTCACACTTTTTCCTTTTCCATGGTAGGCTGAATAATGGTTATTCAAAGATGCCATAATTCTTGAAACTTGTAAATGTTACAATATTTAAAAATGGGGGTCTTTGCCTATCTATTTAAGTTAACAATCTTAAAATGGGGAGATTATCCTAGATTATTCAGGTGGGCCGATGTAGTCACAAGGGCTCTTTTAAGAATGGTGTAGAATTAGATGAGATACAGACAGAAAAGGAGAACACACAGAGAGCAGGCAATGTAATCACAGGCAGGAATTGGAGCGATGTAGCCACAACTAAAGAATGCCAGAAACTGAATATGGATCATGCCTATAGTCCCAGTACTCTGAGAGGCTGAAGCAGGAGAACTGCAATTTTGAGACTAGCCTGTGAACATTGTAGAAATTTAGGAAGACATTGTCCCAAAGGGAGGGAGGGGATTTAGCTCAGTGGTGTCAGCACCTGCCTGCAAGCTCCTGACTGAGTTCAGTCCCTAGTACTGGAAAAAAATGTCCCTGGGTTCTCAGTTTTTTGGCCTGTTCACCTTTGATCTCTTTATTTTTCTGTCCATGTGAGACATCTATTCTCATGGATATACCTTAGAACTTGTCATTTCTAGTAATTTAAAGGTTTTTCAAAATGATGAATTCATACGTCCCACTTTCTGAGAATTGGATCATTT